ATGTTCTACGTTGATGCTGCTTGTGCGGAATCGCTCAATTCGATGCATGTGGCCGTGAGCAGACGTCCTGCGACGACGCGGTCCGCGGTAGAAGAAGGCGACTGAGGCTGGGGACGCGGAGGTGCAAATTGTCGCTGCTTCGCCTAGACCATGCAGCTGGCAAAAAAGCCGGCGGGGTGGCTGCCGCGCAAGCAAGTTGACTTGTGGAATTTCCCGCCGGTACGGAAATGTGCTCCAGCATCCAGCGTCGGCGGTCCTCATGAGCCCGGTGTTTTGCACCGCTGCTTGTATCGCTCAACCTCCTGCGTGTCCTTTATATTCCTTCGCGGGGTTCTTGGCGCGCAGATGCGAAAGGCGGGCGGATGCTGGGAGGCTTGGTACCGGCGGATAAAGCTGTACGGCGCAGCTCTGGGCACTATGATCAGGAGATTAGCATAAGTTCCTGTAGGTCTTGGAGACTGCCGGCCATCCGGCTGATGATGTTCGGAAGGCTCGTCACGGGAAGAAGGATGCCTCCGCATGCATGATCGGACCGTAGCTCGGTCGGTCGATGCCTCGCCTAGCCAAGGAGTTCCCTCTGGGGCTTGCTTACCTTTGTGTGCATGATATGAAGCCTTCGCATGGCCGCGTCGCCTCCGTATCCTGGCTGCGCCTCTGGTGTACTGGTCTTTGTCGCTCGCCTCAAGTATTGCCGCGATGTCGTCGAGGCTTCGGCACCGGTGCGTGCTGTGAAGGAGGCGTCTGCCACGGCGAGAGCGCTGCGGAGGTTCGACGTGGGAAAGGTTTGCGGGGTATGCCCAGGGTGGTGGCGCAAGTTCGGCGGAGTCGCGCTGCGAGAGGTAGGTCGACAAAGACTTCATTCACGCTCATCGCCGTCCTGAAGACTTTGGAAGTATCGGTCTCTCCCGTGGATCTCCCAGGCGCCCAGTAAGCTGGAAACTTGAGACGCCGTTGCCGGTTGAGGTTGTTCTGCCGCCGCCGTTCCCGCCCTTTGTCGGTCTGTTTGTTCGTCGCCAGCAGAGCCCCTGTTGTGCCTTTGCCGGTGAGTTGCGCTGTTCGATGAGAAGAGAGGAGAGGCCGTTCATGTTGGCGCGCCGATGCTCGAGGAGGTGATGGTTGTCGTGTAGCTCGTCTAGCCCCGATGTGCAGAGGGTCATCGGACATGATCGTGCCCCTGTCGAAGAAGTCTTGCGGGATCGAGACGCGAGGAGAGCTCAAGCCTTTCGTATTCCAGGGGCAAATCTGTGCGGACTGGAAGCTCCATCCCATACAGTATCTGCGCGCCCTTGTGCTGCCCTTGGGTTGTATTCGATCGGACTTGTTCGTGCGCCGCCCAATATCTCCGCCGTCGCCATCGCCGATTCCGTCGCCACTTCTATGCCACGGAGGCAGTTGTGGAGGGTAGTCTTTCGCCCAGCTCATCGAGTTGGTTGAGGTGTGGTGCTGGTAGAGGTCTCCGCGCTGGTGGATGTCGGAAGACGCGTTTTGGTGCCCGCCCTGGGCGATGTAAGTCACAACCCTTGTTCATATACTCACAAGTAAGCAGATACTCGGAAGTTCCTGCTGTCGCTGGATGCCCCCTAGCATCCTCGTAGTTCTCGACTGAGGTAAGGTCGTCACCTCCAGCTGTGGTCTCGGAGGTCACGGCTACCTCGACGCCGCCCGTCTTCAGCAGAGTTGCTGTGCCTCTTTCCGATACATGCAACAGCTTCAGGGGCTTCATCCGTCTTTGAGCAGCTTGGGCTCAAGCTTCTGTAAGTCTCTGGGCCATCTCAAGTCGGTGCAGGCTTGGCAGTGGTGATGGTGTTGAAGGGGCCCGCGGAGATTATCACTAGCGTCAAAGGCAAAGCAAGGTCAGGATCACCAACACAACACGGCAGGATAGGACTTCAAGGCCTCGCGAGGAGGATGCAATACTATATAGCTATCTAAAATCATCATCGTCGTCCTCCCAGCTCTTCTCTTGGTGTTGCAGTGTCTCAGTGGCAGATGCATCAAGCTGCCGCCGTCTGCCCACCCCTGTCTCATTGCTTGCGGTGATATTGATACTATCGAACAACTCGCCGTCACCGCCGCTCTCTCAGCTAGCTGCCTTAGCATAAATCAGAGCTTTTTGTCTCACTCCCTCCCTCCCTCCTTCTCTCACAACCACCACCCCAAATTGCCTCGCAATCGCCCTTTCTCTGCTCCTCAAAGCTTCATTTTCCTCTTTCAACACCTCTACTCTACTTGGCAATTGCCTCAAGGTATCCCCCCACTGCTTTTCTGACAGCCCGCTGATTTTGATAGCAGTAGCGCTGACTTTGGCTCTCCCCGCCACCTCTTGCCTCGCCTGGAGTCCGTCGCCCATGCTTTGCATGGGGATGAGTATAACCCTTCCATCAGTATCTTACCCTCCTTGCCTTGAACTTTGCTGACGATGACCTCGCCGGCGCTGCCGTCGCGCGTCTGGTCTAGTACCCCGCTCCAGGAGCCAGCTCCAACCACCTCTACAAGTATCCCCTCCCCTCCTCTAACATTGCGACGTCGTCATTGATACGGCGTCGCCCTTGTCATGCTAATCCGCAACTTGTAGTCGCTGGGTCACTTCATGGCACATCTTGCCGTCGCCAGCTCTGACCACCGCTTCAGGTATCCTCTCCCCTCCTTTAACATTGCGATGTCGCCATCAGCGCGGTGTCGCCTCGACCTGCTAATCCCCGATCTGTAGTCGCAGCGCCTGCATTACGGCACTTGCTGTCGTCGCCAGCAGTATCTTCGTCGGACCACCCAGCGTCACTACCCCGCAATCTTTACTCACAAAACGACTATGTCCACCCATTGGTATGTTATCTCTTCTACCTTACATCATGAGTTCTTTGACTGACCTTTGTCTAGTGGTGCTTGCCCTTCCACCTCCATCCCCTTATCTCCCCCACCCTCCTTCATCCAGGTTTGTCATCCCCCTCTTTACTGACCTCTCTCAGACCATGGTGGCCAAGTATCAGTAGATGATCGACTGCTCTAGCTTGCCGCATTCTGTATTGCAATAGCAACGCGCTACTTGTCGATCTCATGCATGCTGGCCCCTCATGACCATTGCGACAACTCTTGGTCCACTTCTAAGTCCATTCCCTTCCCTCATCGAGCTCATTGACTAACGATACCAGTACATGGCACCTCAAACCTTACCCATCCCCCTACCGAGTACCCCAGATACCTTATCAAGGCGACCACTCAGGCTGACTACATCCAGGGTATCGCTGCCGCCTTCGATCGAGCTCAACACCACGAACCGAGACGCCTCCCACAACCGGCTTTCAGCTTTTCCCAGACGCTCAACGAGGCTTGCGCGCGCAAGCATCAACCGACTTCCGTTTTTCTTCCGATATCTCCCTCTTTCACTTCTCTCGCCTTCGCCCAAGAGAAGAAGTGACATATCGGATGCCACCGCTGTACAACATGACAAGGCAACCTCTGCACGTACGTATCCCCCCTCCTCCGTCGTCGGCTAACTAGTGTTCCAGGGTGGGATGGCAAAAATCTGACTCTGGCTCCCCGTTGCCGCCTCCTGGTAACGCCCTTCTCTTCGGAGAAGGTCGGCTAACTGAGCTCCAGTATAGTCGTGCTTAACCGCATTGAACCTTCTTCCAATCATTTTGCTTTCCTAAGCATCCTCGCCATATCATCCTTTCTTTCTCTCCTCCCCTTATCCGAGCTCGCCATCCATGCCGACCTACGCGCTGGCCAGCACATCATCGAGCAGTATACCTTTCATCAGCGTCTCATCGACGCTTAGTATTCACGTACTCCTGTCGTTGACGTCCATTTACTAACATGTATTCAGGCTGTCTCTCACTGATACGTCAGCGTCTCGAGATGCCATGTGGTTGAGACAGACGATCCATGCGCCCATCGTGGGCAGTAATCGTATTCGACCCTAAGGCTTCGATAGCCTATCGCATGTACGTCGTCCTCAACCTTTGCCTTTTGCTAACGTGTCTCAGTATAGAAAGCGATGTAAGTGCCCACTCCCCTTTGGTTGTTGCTAACGTGTCTCAGTGTGGGAAGTGAATCTGTCTCTGTGCGTCCCCGCCGCGCTTCCTGGAAACATCTCACCTAGTCTGAGGGAGATGGCTGAACAGGGCAGTCCCAGCAGGAAAGGTCATTGCCTGCTGGTGTCTTCGTTTGTTTAGGCGACCGCGCCGCGAGTGGTCAAGCCAATTCCTCGCCGAGAACGCCTTCCGCCCCTGAAAGTTCAAGCAGTACACTTGGAAGCAAAGCAAGATGTGTCACTGGGACATTGAGCAAAAACAAGCTACAATGAAGAGGCGAGCTGGCGTCAGACGAAGTGAGCATCATCTTTCCCCTTCAATCAATTCCTCTTCATTGACTAACGCTTGCCAGATACCAGCACCCCGACAAGCCCTGCCATCCACCCAGGGCATGGGAGGCAAAATCTGACTCCGGGTCCGCGCCGAGTCGCACCCGCCTCCCGGGCAATGCCCTCTCCCACGACGAGAGGGTAGCCAAGTGAGCTCCAGTCGCCAGTAAGACCTCAACATCACTTGCTGGTGTCGCCCCGATACCGCCGCCGCGAGCGAGCGAGATCGACGCCCGCTGAGAAACCGTCTCGAACGCCAGCCTTATAACACTTCCAAGGTCATTTGCAATCGCAATGCGACGTCGCTATCTTTCCTACTTTTGCAAGCGTTGCAGCGTTCTTGGTTGGAAGATGGAAGGTACTCGAAGTTCACGCCTTTCGCTTCTGCCAGGACATATTCGTTGGTACAAGCAGCGACCCATCGGCAAGTGAAGTACAAGACCGGTGAGTAGCTTCTTGCATCCTACTTGAAACCCATACTAACTCGTCTACAGGAAATGCCGTCCGACGTCACTTGTGGTGGTCTCGATAACATCTGCTCCATCTACAACCTGTCGGCCCGGGAAGGCCCAACACGTTCAAGACGCAAGCTTTTCTGCTACTCGTCAACAAGCGCATCCCCACATCGTTTGTTGGCATGACCTGTGTGCTGTGGGATCGGGTCGGTCCATCTGCCGACCCAAAGACTACATCACTCCCACCGCCGATGAGAACGCATACCCGCCTGGCGATGAGGTTTCGTCCGTTGTCAAGGACAGCCCAAACAAGCTGAGCATCGTCAACATCCCCACATACATCGAGGAGGAGCAGATTCGAGAGCTCGTCGAGACCCAACAAGCTGATCTTTCTTCTCTCTTCTCCTTCTTGGATCTCGGGACTGGCTCCAAGGTGCACGAGTTCGCCGACCAGTCGTCATCGTGACTGAGACGATCTTCATGACCGTCACGCTTGAGTCAACTTCAAGCTCTGCTTCGTCCAGTTGCTACGCCATTACTACCTCTGCTGCACTGCCGGAGGCGTCTATCACCGTCGAGGTCCCGCAGAAGGGCGTTCCTGACGTCGCGTCCACGCCTTGGTTTCGCTTCAACCTCCTTACCTCCTTGGCTCGTTGGCTCCTCCATGCAGCTACTACACTCCCACATCGCCTCTTTACATGGCCGATATGAACCAAGAAACGATCCAGAATGTGGGACAATGTTGTTCTTATTGTTGTTGATGGACGTGTTCCAGAAGGTCATTACCATGGTACATGAGTACGTTCAAGGAGAGGACTTTGAGGAGGACGATGCTGGCCCTCAGGCCGGCTTCGAAGAGGAGGATTCGACAGCGACAAGTCGCCTTCCCTAATGATGGGTTGGTGCCCATGGTAAGCCGCCTTCTCTACCGATAGGGTTGGCGTTCATGGTAAGTCGTCTTCCCCAGCATGGGGTTGGCGCCCGTCTTCGGATGGCGACATGAGTATTCGGCGACCACGGCGAGGAGAGGTCTAATGCAGCAAGTCCGCTTTTACTTCCTACGTACGATCGAGACATCCCATCTCCCGAATCAGAACCCGGAGTCGCGAGAAGTCAAAGAGCAGTACGTTCTGCCCAGGGCCAATGTCACCGTTGCCAAGCGTGGCAGCCAGAACAACGACGTAGCGTCGGCAGTCAAGATGCCCAGCACCCCAGATACTCCCCGTGGTGAGCAGAGAAGAACTCACACCTCTTGTCATGGCGCACAAAGACAGATGTTTGGATCTTGGAGTTGGCGATAAATGCAGAGCATCTGTTCAACAACTACAACATCGACCTGCTCATCAAGTACGTGGACTTCGTTGCGCTTGGTCTTCCGCAAACTTCTCCGGCAGGCCTCTCGCCCAAATGCCTACAACGTTGCGCCACAACATCAACAGCTTTCACGCCCCATGCTCAACGACGACAAGTTCGAAATGCATCCCGCACGATCACGTACTCCTGTCCTTCACGTCCAAGAACAGAGTCTTGAGGATCGATACGGTACCCCACAGACATTCCCGGGCATCACGAGAGTAAACCTGCATACCAAGATGGCGGAGATGAGCCAACGCATAGCTGCTAGCACTTGGTTTCAGCGCTTCCTCTGGCCACCCTCATCGGCAAGAAGTACTTTGTGTTTCACGACACCAACGCGATGGCATCGCAACGCATACTTCATCTCCTCCGATAGCTCGTACCAACGGCAACCACGTCAAGACCTGCTCTGATGTTCGGCGAGATCGGCTACCATCTCAGCGCCCACCGCCTTCGGGTATGTTGAATATTTCATACCCCAAGCTGTAAGCCGCCTTCCCCATCCTAGGGTTGGCGCTTGTCTTGGGGCGACAGTTCAGAAGCAGCCGATATCTCTTCACCCAACCAGTAGTACGAGCATATCGTCGACAGACGAAGCCCATACATCGCAGTATCCTGTGACGCCCTGGAATACTTCATGCCCGGATGGCGGTCTCCATCTGATACGGCTTAGACTGCTACCTCGCTACTGCTGTATGCTCGTAGCCCGTGCCTAGAGTGCCACGACTTCTCCTCTCCATCGCCGCTGCCTCCAGCTCCTGCGGACGGAGTTCACCATCTTGAATCAGCTGAAGAGTTCAAGTACTTATCGCCTCTTTCGGGGAGGAACACCACTCCGGATCTGCTACTCGTCAACAAGCGCACGCCTCTTTCGGGGAGGAACACCACTCCGGATCAGGGCGGCGGCGGTGACGAGGATGCCGCTAAGCGCAAGCTCTCCAACCCGATCCTCGCGCGTGTCGTCGTTGGTCGCAAACTTTCGAAACCTCGCCAGAAGCCCGTCTCGGAGCAGCCCGTCCTCAGGATGCGCGGCGACAGGGAGGCCAGGTACCGAAGCCAATCTACTGGACACTACCAGACGGATTCGCTAGCTTCTGTGCTATCCACCTCGCCATTTCGTGCTACTCGTCAACAAGCGCAAGGAGATGTTCAGTGATATTAGCCCTCAGGCAGGCTTCGAGGAGAATCTGTACGCTGCTATGGCGCTGTCTGGTACCAAGGCTCAGGTCCTTGAGATGCACAAGGAGTTGGTCTGATTTGAGATGGATATGGATGAAACTGGTAACTGGTGTGTAATGGCTTGAGATGATATGGACATGACTGCTACCACTACCCAATCGCCACTTTCGGAGAGGACGCGATGGAGGCTTCGGCGGCGGACGTGATAGGATGCGTCAGCTCTACTGTCGATTCCGGGTTCGGGTTCTTCGACCGCAGGTCGCCCAGTAACATTACCAAGATGCCAGATATTCGCACTCCAAGCCCTCTGGAGGCAAAAGGAGTCCCCGCCCTTCAACAAGCCGCGCGAGGCTACGCCCGATCTCACCAGCTTCACAAACATTCAGAAGAAGGCGAACGTCGCATGACACAATGGGGCATCAAGCCCGCAGGTTACGAGAACATCACCGCCAGAGGCCGTCGCATCGCAACGCATACTTCAGTCCCACTGGTCCGCCTATTCCGTTCAGTGGCTCACGCTTGAAGCGGCCTCCTCCCCGGGTCTCAGCGTCTGCCTTCCCCGATGACGCCCCATGGGATGACCGCCAACAGCTCTGTCCTGGACAAGAGCATATTGTGCCGGTGCACAAGGTTTCCTGTACATTTTTACCATCGCCAAAGAGTTACCGCAGCGACGACTTCGAGAACACATACAGTCCAGGGCCTATGCTAGATCAATCTTCGCCACGGCTGCGGTCCCTCCGCTTCATTCACTCTTTCACTGACTCCCAGCGCATGGAACCAGTTCACTGACCCCAACAACACCACCGTCTTTATTGGCGGTCTCTCCGGCTACGTCACCAAGGACGAGCTCCGCTCCTTCTTCCAGGGCTTTGGCGAGATTACATATGTTAAGACACGCCCAGGCGAGGATGAGTTGGTGGAGTGGATGATGAGAAGTATCGAAGGAAACCCTCCTTGGTGTTGCGGTAGATATAGTAAGTCTCCCATCCCTGCTTCTCTTCCCGGTTCCAGTTGCTAACCCTTCTCAGATTTATACTTGTTTGATACCTATTCGGTCCCTTTTGCCTGCGTGATATGATGCTTCCGCCTTTGATGTTGACCTGGCTGCGTATCTTCGCTTCCGGTAAGTACTCCCTTCTTCGCTCCCCTTCATACAAGACCATAGCTAACTCTTCCACATCTCCTCTCGGCTTGTACCGACGCTCGCTCTGCACTTCTCAAGGCGGTGCGATAATCTTCCGAGACTACTTCCTCATAGTAGCTTCTCCAGTCCGCACCGCCGAGATTTGAGTCCTATCTCTTTCCCCAGCCCTTGATCCAATGGCGGCTATCTCTGGCGTCGTCTCCAGGAGCGCCGACAGCAATCTGTGAGTGTCGGTCAAATTGACTAGATGATCGGAGGTTTGAGACGGTGGCTGACTTCAAACGCATGATCTCCGGTATCGCGCTCGCTTTCGACTGACAGTCGCATCGCTGTAAGTACTTCCGACCAAATGCTCGATGGCTGTGACTTATACTGATGTTCTGCATGCACGCCTTCCCGACTGGCGTTGACGATGGTCAGCTTTCTCGAGCCCAATCATTCGGAACGGCGGATGCTATCTTGTGAGTGTCGTTCATATTGAACAAGTGTATGAAGATCCGGCTCCTTCACTAACTTGGGCACCAGGCACTTCAATTCGCGTTCCGGCAGGCTTTGGTCTTGATTACTTTATCGCAGTAAGTGCCTTGACCAAATGCTCGGTGGTGAAGCACATTGCTGATCACCAAGATATACGCCTCCTCGCCTGGCTCCTCTTCCTGGTCGCATCGCCTGACGGCTTCTCATCTTCCACTCGCGGCAACTCCGCCCGATCACCAATCAACACTGGTAGCATTGTCGCGCGTCGTTTTCCGTAGCGGCCAAAGTATCTTGTGAGTTTTGTTCCCATTGATCAGCTGACCCAAGTATTCAGACACTACCGGCGTGTTCTCATGTCCTCATCTCTTTCTCTGATCGATCGCAGTCCCAATGTTGGTTTCAGGGAGTCGCATCAACCTCTAAGGTAGTGAGACCACTTCCTCATAGTGGCCTCTCACTGAGCGGCTCCCAAGAGCAAGTCGCATTTCGAGTTGCTATTCAGGGCTTTTGTCCTGTATAGACCCACAGCTCGATGGTCGGGCGTGGGTTAAGCATCTTTTCCAATTGATTGGACTGATGTTCTGGGTCGTCCGTACATTTCCCATACTTCACATGAAATTGAGGACACTTGATCGAATTTGGCAGCTTCTGGTGTCGGCGGCGGCGCCACGCATCTGGTGAGTGTCGTTCGAATCGACCAAGTGCTCAAAGATATGGACTTTGCTAATGCGATGCGTGTATTCTGACCTTGTTCGACTCCGCGGCGGACTTCCAGTCTTGACGGCTACTTTCAAGGTAAGTACCTCCTCTCTCCAAGACAACATCCTGCTAACCGTATGGTGTCGTATGCGCGCAATGTGCTCTTCCAGCTTCCTCACTCGTACCCAGCGGCGTGACGGTGAGTACCTCTGATCCCCCAAGTCAGCATCATGCTAACCGGTTGGTGTCGCATACGCGCATGTGCTCTTCTCGGATTCGACGGTAAGTGCCTCGTTCCTCTCAGGACAACAGCATGCTGACCGCGGGCGGTCTGCCTTCTCCAGGTTATTCATGCGATGAGCTCTTGTCCAGTCTTCGCAATACACCCAACGCCATAGTGTTGAGTGTCGTCGTCTGCTCTGCTCTTCCCATTCGCGTACAGCTAACGTTGTCGCAGATACGCTTAAGCATCATCAGCAAGCTGCTACATCCGTCCCTTCTCATCCGTTTCTTTCATGTCTGCCTCCTTCTCTTCTGGCTAACTGATTGCCGGAATGCGTCACGGTTGGTGGATCTTCAACCTCAATTCCACGGATGTCGTTCAAAGCTGATCAGATAGCCAAAGCAGCTTCCGAAGGATGCGACAACATCAAAAGCAGACTATAAAGCATTTCAAGGGTATCGCCTTGGCTCCAGGCGCCACTTTGACGCTCCATCGTCGTAGTGCGAGGCCGGGGTCGCAGGAAGCGCCGCACCAAAGGTATGCTCAACACTCCATCTGCAGGCCATGCTAACATCGACTCAACCTTGACCAGCCGTCTCGGAACTCTTCTCCTCTCCCCTCGGCCCCCTGCCGGCGCTTAGCGCATGCCACACGCCGCCTGCTGCCTTGTTGCTGCGCACAAGCCCGGGTACCCGCTCGACGCAAACAAACACCCTCACCGCTCGACCTTGGGTATATAACCACCACAATCGAGTTTCCCTTTGCCTTCGGGCATTTGGTCATTTGAAACGATACAGAGAAGATTAGCATGGCCCCTGCACTAAGGATGACACGCTCAATCAAAGAGACGCTAACATTTTTTTTGCGAATCTTTTGGCTTCACTTTGCCTTGCGTAAGGTCAGCGATTCGAACACGCAAGGCGACGGCAGCACGGACTTGCTTTCCGCGCTCTTTTTTGCTGACAACGCCGGCGCGCTGAGTACGGACAAGCGACATAAGGGTTCGTCGAGCATCCATCCCAGGCTATGGTGTCTTGTTATCAACTTTGAAAAGCTGCTGATATCCAGGTCTGTCAATCCGTGGCTTTTTTTTGCGAGTGCTTTCTGAGCTCATCGTTGGTATCGGTTCGACGTTGGTCCTGGTCTTCCAAGGGGATACGCGATCTTCGAACGCCGCTTTTTTTTCCAACCAGTACAACGGCTCCACAGAAAAGGACCTACTGCCTCAGGGCGATAGTAGTGTCCCGAAACTGGAGCCGAGAAGAAACCAAAGTGCATGCCCTGTCTTCCAGAACTCGAGGGGTCGGATCTAGAATGGTGTCATCAAGTATACTTGCTGCGCCCGTTACGCAGATGCGGAAGGCAGGTTGCGTATATGCATGGACGCAGAGCTGTTCTGCTCGCCCGCTACATGGAACGGCATGTCGCGTGGGTCTGCAGGTTGCTCTGCTCCAACATTTTTAGGTATATCAATCCATGTATTTCTCAACATCGCCCGGCGTTCGAATTCGGAGTGAGTGACATACGCCAGTCATGTCGATGACGGTTTGCATATGACGTCGTCATCGCCGAATTTGGTGATGGAGACATGTCGCAAGAGAAATGGGATGACGATAGTACACATGGGCTTCCAATCTGGAAATAACAATGGAATTGGTGGAACGATCGAAAGGACACTAATGACAGCCAAAGTTGGAAGAGTCGCGAAGAAGAAGAAGAGTTCTGAAGGGAACGCGAGGGGTACGTGTAGCGTGCACTTATGCAAGCGTCAGTCAGGACTCGGATGATGCAAGGTAGAGCAGCATTGTTCTGGGCGAGACCCGGACATGGCGAGGTCAAAGGTGAGAGGCGTGAACCAGACCATGGCCGCGATGGTTGGAACGAAGAGGTTTGACGGGCACAGCTGAACTTTGGTGCCGCGAAGACCTCAATCGACGCTGATTGGCTGATTGGCTTGGCGCCGCAGAACCTCCGGGCCAAGATCCGCATCTGCAAATCGTCACGCAGCGACATCACCACCGTTGACGTCGGCACCACACATCTCCGCCTGTCGCAATGGCGAAGAAAGGTATGTGCTCTCGCTTTACTCAAATATCAAGCCCTTAGAAGCCAACACAACGCCCCCGTCAATCCGCAATGCACCCTCCCACGACTCACACATCTGCGGGCATGCGCTGACGACGAGCCTCACAGCAAAGTCCCGTACCATTATGGTGCGCCTGATTTCGATGGCCATGACGGGCTACTACCGGACGATGCAAAGACCACGTGCGCATCAACCGCTGAGCATGCTCAAATACGACCCCATCGGTACGACCCCATCGCTCCTTTCCCTCCATCGACCTTGGGCGCGCCGGCCTTACACACGACGTCATACTAGAGTGGATGCAATTTTGGGGCAATTGAAGAACCCGCGGGTCTTCGCGGGGCAGGCTAGATGCAGGAACATGGCTGACAGCAGACAGTGCGGAAACAAGTACTTTTCCTCGAAGCCAAACGCGGCAAGAAATAGAACGAACTCTTCACCACGATATGAGCGGGCGCAATGGAGAGCATTTGACGATCACAATGAATATTGGATCTGGGCAGTTATGGAAGTCAGGATGAATAGAGGGAAGCCGCGCACCACAGGTGGAAGCCCCGGCAGCAAGGACTACCATCTGGAGCCAGCGACAGGCATGAAGCAAGCCCCATGCTTGCACGCCTATGTACTATACAGTCAGCATGGTTTGGCGTTATATCAAAGCAGACATGAACAGCACGTCTGCCACACAACAAACAACTTCTCACTCTCGCCTACTCCAACTTTTCTTACTCTATCTCCCCGACTACGCGGCAATACTTATCTCTGTTCACAGGTACTCCCGTATTCCTGACCCGAACGCCGAGATGAGGATGCTCGCCAAGGTCAAGGCTCCGCCCCGCTGCTTGTCTGGCCTCTTGGCCCTACTTAGTGCATCGGAAAAGCCTCAGCACCTGGACGGGTTGCCCGAAGAGGTCGTTCCGACTGGAGAAAGGCTTGGACTACGTCGCCGATGGGCTTTGTACCAGCCACAAATTACCCCATATATGCTATGGCTAAGACTCTGGGGTTGCAGGCGATGGCGCACGGAGGAGTTGGCTGCAACCTAAACGCGTCTGTCTACCGGCAGGATAGCCGAGTGTGCGGAAGCGCAAAAGTATAAAATGGTGCTGACCAGCAGATGTTTGCACTATTCGTTGGCTAGGACTCTTTCGACCATCTCAGTCTCAAAATGGGTTCCGAAAAGATGGACGAGAAGCGCTCAGAACATTCACCTGACACGCGCATTGATAACATCAACTATGACAATCCTTCCTCATCATCACAACATGCGATCGAACAACAAAAGGCAGCATCACAACCTTCCGGCGTCCTAGGTATCTTCTCCAAGCTCGGTAACCTGCCAGAATGGCACGTTCCCGGCGCTGGTCTCCTCCAAGGGAAAGCGTTGAACACCGCCATAGCATGGTGCTCTTGTCTGGCATTTCTCATGTTCGGTTATGACCAGGGAGTTTTGTCCGGCGTCCTCACTCTCGATGGCAAGTACTCTGACATATGAACTGTATGAGACATACGCTGACTTCTCCACCATCTAGATTTCCAACGCCACTTTCCTCTTATGACACCTCGCGAACGTCAGAACAATCTCTGCTGGCTCGATGCACCGACCAACACTGTTCCTGATCCGAGTATGTGCACGGGTAGCCCCAGTATCTTGTCCGCATGCGTCGCGGTGTATCAGATCGGATGTTTCCTCGGCGCTGTCCTCATCTTGTTCTACGGTGAGGTCTGGGGAAGGAAAAGCAGTAGCTTTTGGGGCAGCTTCATCATGATTGTTGGAACTATTCTTCAAGTGGCTGCAGGAGGTACTCGTGGTGGTGGAGTCGACGGTTACGCCCTCCTATCCATTGGGCGTGTGGTCGGAGGCATTGGCAACGGCATGGTCACAGCAAGTGAGTATCACCTCGACTTGCACGCGTGTTCACTTGCTAACAACCTTTCAGCGATTCCAACCTGGCAATCTGAGTGCGCGAAACCTGAGAAGCGTGGACGCTTGATCATTACATCCGGAGCAGTCATCGTCGCAGGCGTAATGATCTCGTACTGGGTAACTTACGGATTCTACTTCCTGCCATCGGGCGAGGTCTACAGCTCCGTGCGCTGGAGGTTCCCCATCGTCTTCCAGTCTTTCTTCACTATTCTTGTCATGTACGTATACCTTCTCCTGCTTCTACAGAGAATACCACTAACATGATCTCAGGATCGGTCTTTGCTTCCTGCCCGACTCGCCAAGATGGCTCGTAATGCGCGGCCGCCACACCGAAGCCCGACTCCTGCTTGCTCGCCTCGCCGGTACATCTGCAGACTCGGAAGAAGTCGATACGGAGCTTACGAACATCAAAGACGCGCTGGAAGCGCAAAGTAGGGATGGGCCATTCAAGATGAAGGAACTTTTGCACAACGGCCCCAGTCAGAACCTTCGGCGCACGTTATTGGGAGTCGCCTCGCAGTTCTTCCAACAGATCAGCGGTATCAATCTCATCGTACGTACGCCTTCAGATATCGCAGTGGTAAACCACAAACTGACCTTGCTTTCACTAGACCTACTACGCAACCTACGTCTTCGAGAACTCACTCGGTTTTGGCCCCGACATGTCCCGTCTCCTGTCCGCCTGCAACGGTACCGAATACTTCCTCGCCGGACTAGTCGCAATTCCATTGATCGAACGAGCTGGTCGTCGCAAACTCATGCTCTTTGGTGCGTTCGGCATGATGGCTAGTATGGCTATCATGAGCGGCATGACGTCGACGGCCACCGAGAACGAATTTGGTGCTCCGGTCTTAGAGCCCAAGTACGGCATCACGGCTGTGGTGTTCATGTTCGCCTTCAACACGTTCTTCGCGATCGGTTGGCTAGGGATGACATGGCTCTACCCTGCCGAGATCACTAACCTCCGCATCCGCATCCAAGCAAATGCGCTCTCTACGTGCTCTAACTGGATATCCAACTTCCTCATCGTCATGATCACGCCCCCAGCTTTCGCGAATCTGCAATATAACACCTACACCATGTTCGCAGTCTTCAATGCCTGCCTCATTCCTAGCGTCTACTTCTTCTTCCCCGAGCCCAAGGGTCGCAGTTTGGAAGAGTTGGATGTCATCTTTGCGAGCGCGCATCATGAGGGCATCAATCCGGTCAAGCAAGCGAAGGAGATGCCTAAGCTGATGGGCAGGGAATTGGACGTGGAGATTGCGAGGTACTTTGGTGGTGATGTGGAGGAGGCGAGGCGGAGGAGTGTAACGAGTGCTGGAGTGAACGCGTGATTCAACCCGGAAGACCCGGATGGGCTGTCGTACACTGGGTAGGAGCAACCTCGGTGTGTGTGTTTCACACATAAACCTCGCAGAGTCCGGAGATTAGAGCATTAGTAAATGCCACCAACAACATTGCTCATTCCAACCCAATACCTCTGAAGTCGCGAAAATTGCTGTTATGGCCGCGTGTACCCGCCTGTATACTCATCCGCTTGAAGCCTGATTCAACAAGACACCGAGATACCGTGCCGTGTTGCCCGTATGCGATCTACTTGCTGACTGCGATTGTCCCCACCCAGCCACTTGCTAGTGGTCTGTGCAACCAGACACCACTCACCCATCTGAACTAAGCCTTGGCCATCTCCGGTTCCTAATGCAACAAGCCATGCGATTTAACTTCCTGATGCAGGAAAAAGCCTACAGCTCCAGGTAATCGCCTCAGTCGCCAAAGCCACAATTAAGGCCTACCGCTCGGTCGGAGTCAGCACAGGGCTGGGCTGCGGCATGTGGCGGGGCATCTCCCGGCCTCTTCCCCTCCATCCACCTCCACACGCCATCGACAGCGAACGGCTCATCAAACTCAGTGCCAGCCCTCCGTCCAATATCACGCCGAAATCATGACGTCGATAAGCTTTGCCCGCTCGGTAACAAGCAAGACAAGCCTTGGCAAAGGGCCTTGTTCCGCCGCTGTGCATAGCGAGCTTCTTCTTTGGGTAAGGAGCTCATTATGCGCGCTGCAGCAAGCTTTGGGGCTTGTGGATACGAGGCTTCAACGTCAACGCGGTATTGTAGCAAAGGACTTGATGAAGTGGGCGTGCAAACATCATAGCTGAAGTTGCAGCTTGAAGAAACGAGCGCAAGAAGACGGCACAAGGATTATTGATGGTCGCGCAGGTGAAACAGCAAATCACGCTCTACCCCCGCCAGGACGTGCCGGTACTTCCTAGCCGAACTTCCTGAGCACTGCTCCCAGCACACAGCCGGAGGATCTTCAGAGACACGTTATCCGGCCAATAATTGCACAGAATGTCCGCAGTTGCCTGATTTAGACTACTTTCCTGTGCCCCAACCCGCGGCTCGCAGCATACGACCATGTAGTCTGACGTTGACCCCAGCGCTGAAATATGCGAGAGGCATGCGTAGCTAGGTGAGCCGGTGCACGCAAAGCCGCTTGGCTTCGTAGTAAGGCCGTGTATATAAAGAGGTGGAAGACACTACTTTGCTGGGCAAGCATTCGCTGAAGTCTTGGTTGCTCTTCTTCCCGACAAGCTTCCCACCATGGCGCGCTTCGCTCAACTCGCCGCCGTTCTGGCCGCTGCTTCGCTAGCCAATGCTCGCGCGCCGTTCATCAAGGAACGTCAAGTGCCCGCTGACCCTACCGGCGTCACGACCATTACTTCTGCTGCTGGTGCCAAAATCACGTACAAGCAGCCTGGCAAGGCTGGTGTGTGCGAGACCACCGAGGGTGTCGACGACTATGCCGGTTACATCAGCCTCAACCCGACGACGAACATGTTCTTCTGGTTCTTCGAGGCTCGCGAGAACCCGTCCGAGAAGCCATTGGTAAGTACTGTGTTCGTGAAGCGTTACTACAATTTGTACTAATCATATTGTCAGACCTTGTGGTTGAACGGAGGACCCGGAAGTGACTCTCTCATTGGTCTGTTCCAGGAACATGGCCCTTGCAACGTTACCGAGGACTTGAAGACACAGCTAAACCCTTACTCGTGGAATGAGCGCAGCAACATGCTGTACCTTTCACAGCCCGTGGGTGTCGGCTTTTCCTACGAAACCACCGAGACAGATGAGGATGGCCGCTACTCGCTCGTCGACCCAGACACTGCAAACACCACCGATGCTGCAGCCATTGGTGCATGGCACATTCTCCAGGCTTTCTTGGAGCTGAGCCCGCAGCTCGACCCCGATATCACCAACTTCACTTTCAACCTTTGGACGGAGAGGTAGGTCATGTGATAGTCTAGAAATGATCGCAATGCTGACAATGTCCCCAGTTACGGAGGTCACTACGGCCCAGGCTTCTACAACTACTTCTACCAACAGAACCAGAAGATCAAGAACGGCTCATGTGCCGGTGTCGAAGTCGAGATGGACACTCTCGGTGTCATTAACGGTATAATCGACGAGCAGATCCAGGCGCCCTACTACCCCGAATTTGCCGTCAACAACACCTACGGCATCAAGGCCGTCAACGACACCGTCTACACCTTCATGAAGAACGCCTACTACATGCCCGAAGGCTGCCACGACCAAATCGAATACTGCAAGCAATCCGACCGCACCACCGAAGCCGGCTACCTCACCTGCGCGCAAGCCACCAACCTCTGCCGGTCCCTCGTCGAAGAGCCCTACTACGCCTTCGGCGGCCGCGGCGTCTACGACATCCGCCACCCCTACGACGACCCCACACCCCCGGACTACTTCGAGGACTTCCTCAACATGGCCTCCACCCAAGAAGCCATCGGCGTAAACATCAACTACACGAGCACCAACGCGCCCAACGTCTCCTACGGCTTCTCCACCACGGGCGACTTCGTCTTCCCCAACTTCCTCGAAGACCTCGAGGAGATCCTCAGCTACGGCGTGCGCGTCGCCCTCCTCTACGGCGACGCAGATTACATCTGCAACTGGTTCGGCGGCGAAGCCGTCTCCCTCGCTGTCAACTACACAGACTCCGAAGCTTTCCGCGCTGCGGGCTACACGCCTTTCCTTGTTGATGGCGTTGAGTATGGTGAGGTGCGCGAGTATGGTAACTTCTCTTTTACAAGGATCTATGAGGCGGGGCATGAGGTACCATATTACCAGCCTGTGGCTAGTCTTGAGCATTTTAAGCGCGTGTTGGATCATGTTGTTATTGCGGATGGAAGTCAGGTTGTTACGGATGATTATAGTACGAATGGGACGGCGGAGAGTACGCATACGGAGGAGTTTGTTCCGTTGCCGCCGACTAGTACGCCCAGTGCTAGTGCTGTTAGTAGGGTTAAGAGGAACGTGGTTTAGATAGGTCGTGGTTGCCATGTGAATGGATGAATGAAATTACGCATAATAATGTGGTTCCTTAATGGCTTGCTTTGAGTAGATAGGCTTTAACGGAACGACTGTGGAAGGGTCTCTTTTCCGGAGTCTATCAGTATATTCATCGATACGGAGTCACAGACATAAGATAGTTTGACCTGTTCACGTGACGTATGAGCTTAACGACCGCCAGCGTGCCAGTTTTGTATGCTCGGAATATTCACATGGATCTGCAGAAATGCTGTGCTGCTTTAATTTACTTAGGAAATCCGAGATCTGATCTTTCTCTCTTATGAACCTGCATCACGTCCAGGAAACCCCATGCCAAGATCCACGTGACAATGCATCGTTTGGCAGCAGTTGGCCCAATGAAGATGTCAGTGATAACAGTCCTACTTTGAGTCTGAATGTCGGTTCGCCAGTCGTATGATGGCATGAAGCGTATTATCAGACTTGTCACTTCAGCACCACAGTCTCTTGTTCCATACCCTGCCAACAATGCTGGATACCGTAAAAGCCATGCACGTACGCAGCTCCGATGAACTCAAGATCAGGCCCACTATCTTTCGATCTAAGCACGTATCCAACACTTCCGCCACCTTCAAGAAAGTACACCGCATCGCCCTGCTCTGTGTCCGGTGGTACAAGTAAGAAGTATCCGGTCTGCGTGACTGCGATGCATCTACCAATCGATGCGTATGGAAGTGTTGTTGCGAGCCAGTCATTGAACCATAGCAATGCCATATTTCCCTGTCTAGAGAAGAGGAATGACCGACTTCGGCGTTGACGATGGTACGGGCTACGTTGCCATCTCTCTTGCGCGCGATGATTCGTTGAGAATGGCATAAGAACGTCTGTCGATTTCAATCGCGGGTGACGTCCGACTCGTATCCAGAAATCGCCGATCGTATGTGGATCTACGCGTACACCTCTGGGCCATTGTTCATGACGAAATGGTAAAGCAGTGATCTCTGAAGCCGATCCGCCAGTGTATAGATCAGCCCACTCCTCGAAGCGGGTGGTATCAGGCAAGTGTAGTGTGGCATCCCAGACGGAGCTGATCGTTTCAATCGTGTCTAGCTTGTACCCTTGCAGTGTGATCGTTCTTCCATCTGCACTGAACGACGCTACTGGACACTGATTACTAGTTCTTCGAAGTGGCGGCATCCACGATTTGTCAGGCCATATGTTATCGTGAAACTGGGATCTGTAGTGTATAGGATTCGATATACGCTGTATGGGAAAAAGTCTTTGAGCAGTCCAGTCAGGTACCCAAGAAGGCAGACCGAGTATGTTTGGCGTTGCGTCTTTGTAGCAAAGGATTTCCAAGGAACGTTCGGTCTCGATGCTGTAGCGCGCTGCTCTTAAGTAGACTTCGTCTGCAGGCAGTGTATAGTCGACGTCTAACAGCCACGCGAATTCAGCTTGCGCAGTACTTGTATCCAGCAAGTTCAGTAATGAGAACACTTTGTCACGAGGATCAGTAGCCAGACAGAAGCGGCTGTCTTGAAGAACCTCGGTTAGCCGTGGCTCCAACCACAAGAAGAAAAGAGTGCACAACCACTTGTAGATACTTGCCAGCATCCCATATCCCCCATACCGATCCAGACATGAAACAGACGAGATGCCTGAGACGTCCATAGCTGTCCAAGTTGTTACAATCAATTCATGTTGGCGAACGGAAAGGGGCAACTGGAAGAAGCTGAACTTCTGCCCGGGAGAGTAAGCACCAAACCAGCTGACAGTCCAGGACAGCTTGTCCCATGACATATGGTTCCCCTTGTAGTACACAATGATCTTTGACGTGTTGGACATATTGATCTCTTGCAAGATCCAAACTCTTCGAAACCATGGATGAGCGAATAGGACCTGGAATTCTCTCATGGTATCGCTGACATTGGAATCGGAAGCTTTCAGTAGTTCACAAAAGAGCTTCCAAGTACTCAAAGCTGTCGCGGGCTGCTCTGGTCCCTCCGCTGAGCCTAGAAAGACAACCGTCCTTGTCGCATGCTTGTACACAAGGTGCATGATCGTCACCTGACTGTTGCGCTCTTGGATATCTTCTTGGTTGATACAAAGCTGGTCAATCCAAAGTATGCGTTTCTTATCTGGATAGCGCATGACTCGGAGGGCTTCCCGGAGGTTGCTGGTAACGCGAAGAAAGGAGCCGTCGCACTCCACCCGATAGCATCGATCTGGCAAACCCCATGTATATGAGAGTGCTTCGTATGAAACACTCTGGTTGATCGCTATGTGACGTAGACTGCAGAGTATATCGTCTTCCTTGGTGCCTGGTAGGAGGTGGAGCACTCGTATCTCTGTAGGCGAGCCGGTACCGCTAGCGAAGCTCTTGTAGACGTATGGCTCCATGTGATGCTGTAATAAGTGTTCAGCTTTGTGAGTATGGCCATGCTGACAACCAGGCTGAGCGAACGAAGTGAAGGTTCGGGGCCAACGCCCAGGCGCCCATGCTGAGCCATGTGGCTTACTGCCTTCCAGCCAGCTGCTTCCCACACACGCCACATAGGCTTTACATCTGCTCCTCTTATATCGCTGCCCTCTTGCCTAGGCGTTTAGCTATTAATAACTTTCGGGAGTTTCTTCGCGATAGCGACGGAGTGCGTAGCCGTTCTTAGCATGGTGCGCGAGCCCGTCTGGGCATGACGTCACATGTGTCAAAGCTACGCCGCACTCTCGCTGCACGCTTCGTGCTGACGTCCTTCAGCCACCATCACTATCACAAATCGAAGTCGCCATGCATGCGCACTCGATCGAAAGAGGACCACTCCGACAGAATATATGCCGTACACGCAAGTCGATTTCAACGCCCTCGACATGAGAGGTTACTCACGCGTAACGTTCGCGCAATCGTGTCCCCGACCACGCGTCAAACGCGTCTCAAAGGCCTTCAGCCACCTGCAGATATAGTCATGTATTGTGACGCCAAGTTCACAACGCTACATGCATATGCAGCTCGCGCCACCAACAATGGTATTCAAACGCCAGCTCAAGCCTTGGAACGTCACCGTTGAGGAGAATCAACATGTAGTGAGGCTGTGTCAGCCCGCAACAAGGTGTCGCACTCCCCATGCTTTCTGGCACCCCTCGCCTCTGGGGCCACACGTGACGGTCGTACGGCGCTTAGACAGCATGCACAAGCAGCTGCAAGGTCAAGAAGACCCGACCGGAGATGCACGTAGGGCAGGAAAGTCCCTAAGGTACGAGTCTACCTTGTCTGAAAACGAGTAGTACAAGCTAACAAGATGGCAATAGGGCCTCATCCACGAATACCCAGCAGTACGCGAACTCTACAACCGAAGGCGAGTCAAACACATCGAACTCGAAGCCTCCTACCTACAAGCTGGTCAACGACAAAGCAGACCACGATGACGACTTTCTCCTGCTGGCAGGAACGCCGGAGCCTGGCTATCTCGTCCCTACAAAGAAGCGCTTCTTTACAGGATGGCGCATGGGTGCGCTCGCATCGGCTACCTGCGCCATATTGGTGTTCAGCATGAACCTCGCCGTCACAATGTGGGTCTGGAAGAACCCCGATTACGAGCATGCGAATGGCGTTGGGACATTATTCCAAGGCAGCTGCTCTACTGTTAGAGAAGTGAATGTCTACGTCCACCTGGTCGTGAATATACTCAGTACCTTATTGTTGTGCAGCTCGAACTACTGCCAACAGATCCTCGCCGCACCAAATCGAGAAGAGCTGGGGCGTGCGCACTCACGGCGAAACTGGCTGCACATCGGCGTTCCTAACCTCCGCAACCTATGGCATGTTGGATGGGATCGCTCCGTATTGTGGATTTTGCTGTTTCTCTCGTCTGTACCGCTACATTTGTTATTCAACTCTGTTGTCTTCACAAATGTACAGGCAAATGAGTATGCTGTTATACCGACGACGCTTGACTGGGTAACGTCTACGCAAGACGTTTACGACACTTCCGGCTTCCTGAACGTCAGCATGAATGCAACAGAGGCGATCTCCTCAACGATTAGGGACCAATATAGATTTGACCCCTCTGATGCGGTCGCGTTAAGGAATGGCAGCACGATGCCCAAATACAGGAATGTTACCACATCAGATGTCTCAAAGCATACGGTACGCAGTATGTATCAGCAGTTGGGAATTTATACTTGATCCAAGCAAGCCCAACGGTTTTCCGGGACGCTACTGTCTGGGTTGGTCGACGTTATCGGAGCGGCTCTTTCGAATGGGTGCTTAGAACACCAGAGACGATGAAAGAGGACCTCAGAAACGATACATATGTTATCGAAGATCCAAACCGACATCTCCCGTTCATAAGTACGCCATCTATGTATCCGTCCAACGGGTGGCGCTGCCTTCCTCATCGTCCAGAGAAGTGTAAGTGAGCTCCGTATTCGCCACCTACGAAGATGGTGTATTGACTAGAGTTGACACAGGCGATCCTGGCGATGGGACCGCAATCCCAAGCAATCGATCAGCGTGGCAGCCATTCGAAGTACCCGTGGCATACTGCACTATCGAACAAGTCGAAGAGTTTTGTAAGCTGTAATTCAGCTTTACCATCGCCACAGCAGTTATTTTGGCCAACCTTGTCAAAGCGATTTGTATGATACTGTTGCTTTTTCTGTACTGGGATCATGGCGCGCTTGTAACCATAGGAGATGCGATCGCGGCATTTCTTGAAGATCCGGATCCCGAAACCTACGGTCGTTGCCTGCACACCAAACGAGACGTCGGTGTCCGATGGAACTGGAACGAATACGCTAGCATTCCGAAAGTGGCACTCGACACTGAGCCCGCGAGATTCAAAATGAGAAGAACGAGGTGGGCTAGAGCTCCGAGCACCATGCGTTGGTGGCAGACGTACTCTGCGTAAGTCGTGTGCAAGCCGTTCGCGGTCATCTACTTACCTTTACAGATACACCATTATTGCTGGGCTCGGTGGACTCTCCATAGCACTTTCGTTGGAAGGCATGCCCAAAGACCCTGTAAAACTGTGGAAGACAGGGTTTGCGACAGTCAACGGCAACAATCTCCTGGACTTCAGCACATCACTAATTCCGGGCGTGCTCTTGGCGAATACACCTCAACTAGTCCTCTCATACTTGTATATCGCGCTAAATGCTCTCTACACAAACATGTTCGTCGCAGCGGAGTGGGCAAGCTACGTCAAAACACGGAAATCACTCCGCATCACATCGCCCACTGGCTTCCAACGCGACTCGTACTGGCTCAACGTACCCTTCCGCTACGCTATTCCCATGACCATCATGTCAGGTCTCTTCCACTGGCTCGCGTCACAAAGCATATTCAAAGTACAAATCTCCATCACAGACATGCACACGCGCAAAGCCGCTAGCGAAGTCTCAACATGTGGCTATTCACCCGTCGCTATCATCCTGACCACGGTCGTTGGTTTCACCATCGCAGCTGGCGGTCTCGTCATCAGCAGGTTCTGGTATCCAGCTGGTATACCTCTGGCTAGTAGCTGTTCTGCTGCTATTAGCGCGGCCTGTCATGCGCCGCCAGAAGATGTGAACGCCAGTCTTTTACTGGTACAATGGGGTGCTGTTACACATGGGAAAGTAGGCGAGGGTGGGGAGGGGCCGATCGGCCATTGCTGTTTTACGAGCTTCCCGGTTGAGATGCCTATCCCGGGGCGGTTGTACGCATGAAGTGTATGAGTAACGCGAATATCTCTACGCCGTCGCAGCTCTAATGGCATTAAGAGTACCACGACTATCAATCTTAATTAGAGCAGACAAGGAATGGTCGAGCTAATGATATGGCGCTTATGTTAACGGTAATTCTTTTCGAGCGCCGCGCCCTTCTTATCTGCACCTGTTGACTATCTGCTCCAGGCCCTTTGCAACTATGTCCCCTCCTACCAGAACATTCATCGCGCTACTGGAGTTCCCCACGGAATAGTCGTCAGTCTTTTGCTTCGCGCATCGCTGTTGTTTCGCGTCCCCGAATTCCCTGTTCATGGACTATTTTGACTTGTTCCACCATTTCCTGAACTTGGAGATCAGTCAATGAACTTGTTTCCCCTTGTTGCCGTAATCTCGCGAAGACCATGTCCTCGGCAAACGGCGCATTGATAAGTATTCGAAGGTTGGTCGGTAACGCGACTGCACCGGTGTGTTCGTCTAAACAACCTTCTAAAAGATTTTGCGTACCCGGTATCCAAAACGCTTTCTCTCTCTCAGATAGTGTGATAAGGGATTCGCCAGTAATGACGATCTCCAGGGCTGCCATCCACATCAACACCAACCCTGGCCGGTACGCCTCACATGACCGCAGATCGAACGCCCACTGAATCTCACACAACGGATGGCTTCTGCTATACGCCACCCATGCATTCAGGGAAAGCTGAAACCTGTTTCGGCCCGGCCAGTAAATCATTACCGTCAACATACGGTCCAACTTCCGGTCGTATGGAACCCGAACGAACAGTCTTCGAATGGGTCCATGGCGATACACATCAGAGTCCATACCCCTGACGAAGCGCCACATAATTCCGTTGTACATCAGCCGCTGGGCCATATCCTCGACATGGACTACATTGGGTTTTAAAGGGAGCTTCTGCGTCTCTGCACGGACTTGGTGACAAATGAGTTTGAGGGGGTTTGCGATGGGGCCATCAGCGGCGTTTCTTGGGCGGAGTGTGATGGAGCTTGTGAAAAGTCCTGTGAAAGGTACAATTGACAGCCCATCTTCGTAGTAGAGAGCGTATTCATATATCATGGTGCGCAGCTCCAATGGTAGATCAAGAAGCTGTGAGGGGCCCGTTGGTGAGGGCGAGGGGTGGATCCTCGTTGGCCATGACACTGAGGAGATGTAACCGCCCATGGTGATGATCAAGAGTCGGAGATTGGGAATGCGCGCTGGTAAGACCGAAGGGTTGAGAAGGGTTCTTATCTCTCGAGAGGAGTAATCGGTCGACCAAGAAGCGTAGGAGCCTTGACTGTCGCCACTTCCAAAATCACCGCTACTGTGAATGACCGCCAAACCGTCAAAGATCATGATCTCGGTGCGTGAAACTTGTAGCTTGGCCACCGAGCGTACAAATAGGCCTCTGCTTCACCGCTGTATTTCTACAACCACACAAGACTGCTCCACCAGTCTCAACTACCCACCTAACGAACGCACACCACAACTATGACTTCAAGACACAAGCAGCCTCTGCGATTCCGAAGCCACCCAGCCGATGCCGCAGACCCCAGTGGCGTATGCCACTATCTGAACCTTCCTCGAGAAATACGAGACATGATCCATACATACGCCTTGACATGCGAAGATGACCTTGTCGCGACTTCAGCACCCACCCGGCATGGCCCCGGGCATTTCCGATGGTCGCCGAGTCTCCAGCCTTTCCAGTACAGTGAGCGACCAGCCGAGGACTATCACCGCGCTATCTTCAAACCCGGTGATTGCAACCCTCTTCGCTTAGTCTGCCATCAGACTCGTGCGGAGACTCGGGGGCTCTTGCTGAGCTTGAACGATATTTCCTTCTCTCTTATACCGCAAGGAAATAGTCGCTGGCTCGATAAATTGTATGAGAGAATCTTCAAGGACTTCTACACTCAGTGCAGTCACATCAACCGGAATCGCCTGCGCAAAATGACTGTTCACGTGTCTTCTCACAGAGTCAGAAGCTCGGATTTTATCCGAGTTCGCGATATCCTCGACTGGTATACCTGGAAGTTCTCTTTCCACGACAACATCTCAATTTTTTTCCGCTTCAACATGGACGGTATCAATCCGGAACACTACCTCAAGGAAACCATCAGCTGGAGTCTGCTGCGCCATGAAGCTTTTCCTGAAAATCCTGGAAGGAGGGGGCCCTCCATGGACACGTTGCCGTGTTATAAGAGGCCTGTGCCGTTTGCGCCTAACGTACGTTTCTCGATCGTGCAGGAGTTTCCGGAAGATGTTGTGGAGGCGCAGTGGAGGGCGGCTTGTGGGAAGTGTGCCGAGTCTGGTCGGAAAGACGCGGGTTGCACCTGTGTGGAGGGTATAGCGGGGTCACGGAGGGTGTTTGAGGAGGGCTTGTAGGCTGCGGTGGGGTTCTTGCGTGGATCCAGCGTATGGCGGCGACAGCCGTTCAATATTCACGTCTTCTTGAATTACCTCTAGTTTGATCACTTGCTATAGAAGCCTTAATTAGCTTTCCATATGTGCTGTTTCGTAATGATACTTGCAATATCTTGAATGCACGGTATTCCGCATCATGCCTACTAAAGTCTATATCCCGAAAACGTCTCGTTCCTCCCACGACTACGCCGCCGCGCTATTCTCCGCCAAAACCCCATTCGCCGCCGCCAGCTCTCCCATAGCCTTCCCACTCCCCTTCTGCTTACTCTTAAAGTACTGCGTGAAATCATGTCGAACCTGATGTATAGTCTCTGCAACGCTCTTCCCCCACACCGGATCATCACTCGCCCTCTCACACATCTTGAAGAACTCCTTCCTCTTCTCCTCGTGCTCGGGGTCCCAAAGACGGTGGAAGTTTTCGCGCGACATGGGGTCGATCATTTCGCGCCAGATCTTGATGCGGATTTCGGAGTATTTGTCGAGGATGGAGTCGTCGAGTTCGTCGAGGTGGATGCCGGTGAAGCAGTCGTAGAGGGAGCCGACGTCGGCGAATCCGCCTGTGAGGCCCATGCCGCCGCTGACGTTATGTTAGTAGAGTCCGCTCCTCATAAACTGGTATACATACAATGGATTGCACAGATGCGCTGCGTCGGCGACTAGTACAATTCGGCCTACGCGGAAGCTGGGCGCGCATCTTTGTTGGAGCTTATAGGGGCTCATACTCTTGAGCTTGTACTCATGGGGCTTGGGGTGACCGGGTAGGATTTGCTCGTAGCGGAGGGGTTGGCGTTTTACGAGCTCTTCTTTTGAGAGGCCTTCCGAGTCGCCGTATGTCACTCGCCAGAGGCCGTCGTTGGTGATCTTTGCGGCCATGTACCAATCCGTGGGGTGGACGATGAAGTTTGAATCCCACCAGTCGAATTTCTCGTCGAAGGGTAGGTAGACATTGGTAGCGACAATCTGCGCCTTGAGCGTCTCCCCTGGATATTCCTTCCCGAACAACGCTGTGCGCACACCACTTGATGCGCCATCAGCACCAACTAAATAATCGCCTG